CGCAGCCTCCTCTGAAAAAAGCTGCAGCAGCTTTATTCACTGCAGTGAAGTCACCTCCTTTAGTAAGGCCAGGTGGAGATTTGCTCCATGGATTGCTGCCTTACTTTGACAATAGTCCCAGTAGTCTCCAAATGATGACTATTCCTTCTAAAACAACAACAAAATAAGAGCAGGAGATCGTTTTCGACACAAACATCCCCTGCCTGCTCTGGGACTGCTCCTTAGAGCACACGCATTGCTTCTTCATCCAGTCCTGCTTTACGAGACTTGGTCCCTGTGGCTCCTGTTGTTTCGCTGCAGATGTGAGCTTGCAGCCCAGTAGATCCCATCCTGGAAAAGGATTGTCCCAGATTATCATGTCCTGCTTCCTTTCCCTTTGATCCACTTGAAATAATCTCTCCCGTTTGGCACCCCAGGCAGCCCTTCTTTTAGCCTCCTGTTCTCACCCTTCTCACACTTGCAGCTGACTGTTGGCCGTGTCTCTTACAGGCTGTCACTTGGGCATTCACGCCTGGATTTTCCTGTTTTTTCCTACATAAGAGGTGAGGGGGGCAGTTTTCACTAACGTAAGCCCAGCACAAGATAGTCACCTAGTGCTCTGCCACCCTGAAAAGGGAGAGTGGGGCATCATCAGGGTTAAGCAAGCCCACCCCAAGTTGGCTATCTAACATAGTCCTACAACCACCCTCTGGAAATGCCTCACTTTTTCCCATGTGTCACAGTGAGGGACCAGTCACCTGTATTTATTTGAAGCCCTAAAATGGCTAAAGTTGACCTGAATCCCAAAGTACAAGTGTCCTATCTGCCTCCTACTGTCTTCAGTGTTGAGCACTTCCACCTTTTTCCACTCATCTTCATCCTTCTGCTGTTTCTGCCACCAGATGAGTCCTTGAGCTTAATTCCATCTGAACTGCACAAGGAGAGATTGTCTGAAAATGTCACTGTTTTTTTCACCTCATATCTAATTTGTGGTGCACAGTCAAACCTGTCCAGCACTCCTGCTGTCTCCTCATCCATGTTCAGCCACGCAGATTGCATTTCCATGGATAACTTCCCTTTGCCTCACTGATCCAGCACCAGCCCTTGTCTGCAGTGAGATAAGATAAAGATCACCATTAATTTATGACAATGTCACACAGACTGTGTGTCCACATATCACTGACTCTGGGCACTGGTAGCTCTTGGCACCATAAAACACATGTAAAGTACAAGTAGAAGAAATACTTCAGAGACCTGATGTAGCCTAAATCTAGATACAGGTATTATTTTTTTCAACTTCCCTCCAGCATCTGTTCATAAAAGAAGGCTTTTGGGAGAAGACACAATTTACAGCTTAGAGCCATTCTGATTATCATTCTGCCTCGTCTTCCCCATCCCCTTTACCCATCACCTCTCCTTTTCTTTTCTCCTAATATTTACTTGCTTTCAGCAAGCACTGCTGTTTGTTGGGAGCTGAATGTTGGGCTCTGATGTGGTGTTACAATTGCCTGGGGATGAAGGCTGCTCTTACAGAAAGAAGATTCAGTTTAGGGAAAGCGGTTTTACCTGCTTTGTTTGGAAATGCTGTCCCAGGAATCACCAGGTAAGAAGTTCTTCATATCAGGCCAATTTATTGAAAGATGTGGGTTACCTGCAGTTTGGCAATCTCTTCTCTGGTTTGACCCAAAATGTGGTACAAAACCAGAACAAAATACTTTAAAAGTATAGATGTAGCTGTCTCTCTGTACCAACAGTTTAAAGGGCAAAGGAAGGATGGTTGAGGAAACAAATGAAATACTGACAAGGGAACTAATTTCAAGCCATTTGAGAAGCTGCTTGTAAACTTTACTCAAAATCTTTTCTGCCTCCTTGCCTTCAGCATCCACCCTGGATATGATCTCCCACTTTGAATTCAGTGGTTCTTACTGGAACAAAGAATCAGGGAAAGTTTTAAAGCAGAGAGGAATGACTGATTGCTCAACTGCTGCCAAACTCCTTGACTTCATCCTTCAAGCAAAGCAGCGACTTTCAAGGTGTCCTTGGAAAGCCGGAGACGTGATCCCCAAGCAAAAGTGATCCAATAAAACCCGTTTGGCTCCTTCCCCATCTCTTCCCTTGCCAGCTTTAGGATTAAGCTCCCAAATGCACTTCATATGCAGGAAGGGACAGAACTGAACAAACCCATAAAAAGATGAAACACTGTGAGCTATGCAGCTCATCTTACCAGAACATCTTCTAGATCAGACACTTAAGTATTTCAACTCTCTCTATGCCAGCAAAATGAGCATTATTAAGGCCCGTTCCCTGGGCTGATGGCCGCATAAGATGGAAGGGTCTGTACCTTTATCATTAATCTCTAACGCTTTCCAGAACAGGTTGGTCACTGGGAAGGCTATCTGGCCCGTGCAACTACAGGAGTGTTTGGGACTGGCCAAAACTGTTGCAGGGAGCATGCATGAAATTTAACTGCATGGCCAACTGAGACCTGTGCTGATTATTAGTATGGATGTAGTCAGAGAGTTTTATTTGCTTGCATCAGTGAACACTGGCCAAGCAAGGTCCAACCTCACCCCATGAGTGAGGATCAAGGGTTCATATTCAGCTCAGGAGGTCACCTGGAAGCAAAAAGAGACCAAGACTGAAATGAAAACCTAATTGACTATATTATTTATGACGGGGAGAAGGAAGTCATTAAAAAAAACCACCCAACTGAAAAACTCAGTCTCACATCTTTTTCCCTTTACACTGTGTTTATGGCCTTTTCTGTGCAACTGGTACTGTCAATAATCCAGGCATTCAACTACCCTGCACAAAGCCTATTCAACATCTGTCTGCAGTCAGTGGGAGAGATGGCAGCTCCTGGATGGATGAGCTGAAAGGGACTAGAAAAAGAGATCATCACAACCCCATTTGGGTTCCAGCTCTTCTCTCTGCCCTAACTTAATGAAGTAATGAGCCGATTTGGCTTCTTCATACCTGTGGCTGTAACATCCTGTCTCCATCTATGATCAAAGCAGTCCAGGCACCACAGGCTTTGGAGCATGCTGTAAGAATGACTGAATGAAAGTCAATGAGCTGGATGATGAAGTAGATCAAATCAGATAATTAAGCTAGACTCATCCAGACTTCAAATAGAGAAAAAAAAAAAAAGTCCCCATGTAACTCCTTTTAAGTGCTAAGGTCATTATCAGTGCTCCATGGCAAATCACAGACAACTGATTTCATAATTAATGTCAGTGCATGCAACCGTAAGTTTAAGGCAGGTTTTTTTGTATGATATTTGATTATTGGATTCCTGGAAACAGACTCCATGCCAGAGCATAATTTGCACATACAATCTTACTAGTTTTCTTCAGTGTGCCACAGGAGCTCATGCAGTTCACTGTCATCTCCTTTCCTCAGGAATTGTCGAAGATTTAAATGTCACAACCTCTTTTGGTCAATATTGCTATTCTCTGCTTTAAGATGGTCAAACTGAGGAATGGAGAGAAGTGTGTTACCTTACCCAGAGAGTGGGAAAGCATCCCTTTGCAATTCAGAACAGCACTCAGTACTATGCCAAGGTTTACTGTTGACCCAAATCATAACAAAGAAAGCAAACAGAATAAATGAGAAAAGGAGAAAAGGGATTTGCACTCAAACACACATCAGTTTTAGACACAGTTTTTCCAGTAGTGGGAACAGGTAAAGAGAGGAAAGAGACACATATCCTCCCATTTTCAGGTCTATTATGTGGAGATGTCATATCAGACTCGGGGACCAGCCTGAGCTCTGGATCCCACCTTCTGTTCCTGCAGTTACTGGTTTTAAACTCAGACCAAGTGTGCTGTCATGTGAGTTCAGAAGATATGTTGGCCATATTTGCCAGTCCCAGAATTTATATCATACTGTTGTTTGTCAAAGCCCCACCTATCCCATGCAGCACTTCCCTTCTGATAATTTCTACAGAGATACAGAGCTAAATAATGGAAAGGGGAGAAAAGCCTCTAATTCTCACCATTATCTTGAGGGTAGCCTGTTAAAACATGAACTCTGATATTTTCTTGCAGGCTCCTCCCCTGAGATAGGTCTCTGAGCATCCCTGGAATTTCCTTGCCCTTGGACACTGCCCTGAACTGTCGTGGGAACACAGTGAAATTGAGAAGGTGTCATTTGGTGTTGAAAGCGTCCCGGTTTTGTCAGCAATGAATGGGAACAGAGAGTGGTGAACTGCAAAAAGGGAAAATTATGACGATTTTTTGAAGTCTTGATGAGTTTATCTATTTGTTGTAATGGTGAAGAAATTATAACCCTGAGACTTCATGTTCCCCCACAAGTCCTACCCAGGACATGCTCATGTCTATCCAAGAGGGAAAAAGGTCCCTTAAGGCAGGGACTAGTCCCTGTAGTGAAATCAGTGGCAAAAATCCATTTTGGACCAGGTTTCAAATCTCAGGCAAATGGCAGTGGCCTCCACTGCAGCCCTGGGATTGCTGAAGTCACAAGTGCAAAGCATCACCAGGCTTGCTCTTGCTTGGGCCATCAGAAACCTCAAGCATGGCATTGCTGTAGTGTGAAGGGCAATATGAGTAACCCGCTGGAGCTTCAACCTCAGGCACACTTTGCTTAACCTCTAAGCCGGGTACCCTTTACATCTGAAGAGCTATAGTATTGAAGTTGCTAGAGTTTCCAGCACCTCCATTTCATGACTGTTCCCCAACTCTCAGTGCCAGCTGTCAGTCCCTGGGGGCGATCCTGCAGCCATGGCCAAAGGATGCACTAAGCTTGTCCACCTTGCTGTGAGCCAGCAGAAGACAACCAGCCTCTTCCAGAGGACACACAGCCACGGCTGTCATCATCTAATCCAGTTCATGGACTGCACACCTTAGACACCAACTGACATGGTTTCCAACCTCAAGCCACCTCACATCTTGGGGTACAGGAGCTTGGAGTCAGCATCCGCACCTGATCATACAGGTTGTTTCTATGACTTCTTTCTCATCATTCTCATGTCTGTCATTAGCACTTACCAATATGGTGCCTTGCTCAGACATCCTGAGCTCTACATGACATCCCACAGCCCTTCATGCTGGCCACGGGGTGCTTTCAAGTTGTCACTGCCCTTAGTCCGCAGAACTCGTGGGTGCGTATGAGATTGAAGGAGAGCAAACTTGCTGGAAACAAGCAAAGAGACCACCAGGGAGATGGGAAGGGGATGAGAATCAAAACGTCAGAGTAGGCAACAAGTGCTCTGAACTAGCAGCAATGATGGATGACAGCGAGTGTCTTATTCCCATTCTGATACTTGAGAAAGGGGAGATTGTGAGAGCTTTCTCAGCTGGCTGTTACCTTTGTGTTATACAAAGGATATTATTAATCAGAAGCAAAACCCCTGGGAGCTGAAGTCACAAGCGGGTTTTGTCACAGCTTGATTTCCACCTTGGTGTCTCCAGTCCTCCAGGGCAAGCGGCTCATCCAGCGCACTGTGAAGCCAGCAGAGACATCTAGTGGCAAAAATAACATAAAATCACGCAGGGGAATATACTGGAGTGCTTTGCTTCATCTTTCCGACAGCGCGACGATCACTGGCTTACTAATACACATTTAAAAAGACCGTTTGAGAGCTCAAGGCTGTATTTTTAACTGATCTGTTGAAAAATGCATTGGAATGATGCTTTCCTAAATCTCCCAAAGCCTAGCTTTATGGAGATAAAACACCTCTATAACTACTGTGCTTCCTGCCTGCCCTCAGCCTCCCAGGACACTGTTCACCCTGACTCTATGCTTTTTGAGGGGTCGGAAATATCGGTATCATGTCTGGTTCTGGTTATGTTTTCTGGTCATGTGTGAAGGTTTCTGTATGCCATTGCTGCTGGGCTGATTGATGTGATCTTGTTATACAGCTCAGAACAATTTTTTTTCCATCTGTTCTTTACAAATATGGTTTTTGTTAAGAGCTTTTCGGATTTTGGCTTTGATGGCACTGGGTTTTGTTTAAAGACTCACATTACCTATTATGTTGAACATCTTTGTGCAGCTGTTCCATTTAGTCCAAGTCTGTTCTTCACTGGACACAAACCAGCCACTATTCAGCTTTGGCAGCTGTTTAAAAAAAAAAAAAAAAACCTTTAAGAATGTAACAAAGCAATGGCAAAATTCAGTTTCTTAGTGGAGCAGGCAATACTGCCAATTTACCTGCAGTGAAAATCTGGCTTATCTTTGGCAAAGCGTGTAGTCCTTACTTGGGATTTATTCTATAGTCACAGACAGTGGATTAAACACAATGCTGCAAATGAAAGATTAAATATGTGAACACAGAACTGCCAGTCTAGGTAGAAATTTTTACTTTTATAATGACTTTGCAGGGTACATAATCCATCTCACAAAAGACATTTGGCCAATGGCAGGAGATCACTGCTGCGACAACAAGGCAGTTGCTCAAGCCAGAGAAGAATGTGGCCCAGATTTTAATGTGTATTTAGCAACGTTCAGTACTGCAACACCTAAAGGACTTGCAGGAACACTGGAGTGTGAGGATGTGATTGTAAGTAATCAAGAGCTAATGTGAGTGACCTCGCATCCAACTTAGCAAATCTCTGTTCATCACCTGGGCTGTGGTACCCAACTACGCGTGCAGTCCCACGCTGACCCACTTGCAGCGTTAAATATTTTACTTTATTGAAAGCCAGTGAGCTGCAGGCCCTTACGTGAGTACATCAGTTTGGAAACCCCAAATTTAGGCTCTGAAGTCAATTAGGCATTGCAAAGTGAAACACTGAAACACCTAATCACCCGCTGGTTGGGCCAAAGAGACTGCTAGGGATCTCCAAAGCAGTTGGGATCAGATATTTGATGTGACTCCATACCAGCTGTGAAACATTAAAAGGTTTAGAGGATTCAGTGGAAAAAGAAGGCAATATGAGCTTTTTTTTTTGGTACTCTTTCAACTTTGGTAATGATTTTTTGGTAGTGATTTTTTTCTTATTCATTTTTTTTTGGTAGTCACGTTTTTTTTTGGCAGCGATTTCTGACACATTTCAAGTTCCAAAGAAAAGCACTACTTTTACCAATAGTGTCCACATCAAATCCATTAAGCAAATGATATAGATTATTTTTAAATCGTTTGCAGCCTTTCAGCTGTGTTCGTAGGTGCTCTGTTGAATACCTTGGTCCCCTCACTGTCATTCCTCCTCCTCTCCTTTTGACTTGTCATAACCTGTAGAGAAAGTCCTCTCCACCTCCAAGTACAACTGAGGAAGAGACACAAAAAATGTCTGCCAAGCATTGGCTGTGCGGGGAAAAGAGGGCCACTTCTCACAGGGACGAGGGGGTGTCACCCAAAGTGAATCTGAGGAGGATGTTCCCCTCTGGAAGGGGCTGCTGTTGTCGGCTCTCCTGACCTCCTGTGCAACACAGACTGCAGGGACCCTGCACACAGAGCAGCAAACAGCGCCCAGTCCACAGGCTTGCACCCATGAGGCAGGGCTATTTGGAGGGAGCCACAGCCCCCCTGTCTCCACTAATGCATCTGCACGCAGCTGGAACATCATCTTACAGAAAAATATCTAATTTAACTCTGAAGCCTTCATGTGATGAAGCATCCACCCTGCCTTCTAGTAACCTGCTCTAGTGCTAATTACTCACCCTGTTGAAAACAACCTTCTTCCATCCTGAATATTGCTGCCTTCCCTGCCAAGGCCTTGTCTCCAAGCCTGCTAACTCCACCAGTCCTTCTCTGTAAGCAGGCAGTAACCCAAGAACAAGAGGACAACCAGTGTCCCTGCAGTTCAAAGCCACATGAATATTAGTGGCCACATCTCTTCTAGTGAATAAGATATTTCAGGGACTGTTTTCTGGCCTGGAAGACCATTTGCCTATCATAGCCCACATCCATACACCCAAATACTCACCAAGACACAGTGGCATCAACCATGCTGCCCGCTGAGAGAGAACCAAGGGCTGTGCTCTCCCTGGAAATTGTTGGAGATTGTGACCAAAACCACACTGGTGAACAGGCACAGCTACACAACCTGGATTATTTCAGGACAGTAGATGAGTCCATGCCTTGGTCCTGGTTAGTTCCAATACCCTTCAAAGGAAAGATTAGCTGTATAAAGATAAAAACACTGTCCAGAGCTGTAATCAGTAATATTAGGCTTAAGGGAGACTATAAATACCTATGTCTTAGTGTGTGGCTGAACCTTGAGCTACCAGGGAGAAGGAAGGGGCCACGAGAAAGCTTTTCCTTCAGGCATCTCACCTCATAATACATCCTAAAGAGATTTTTTCAGTTTTCCCTGTGGTGCTGGGTCTGGCCAGTGTCTGCAGCAAGATACTGAGCTGCAGTTTTACACAGAATGGCAATTTTGGTGATGCTGTGAACCAAGGATGTCCATCATTTCCCAGAAGAAAAAAACAAAACAAAACAAAACAATGGAGGAGTTGTCTGGTGTCTTCTCTTTTGGGAACAGGGAAGATAAATTTAAAAGTAACTATTTAGTTCACAGAACTGGGAAGATTTCTTTTTCTCTGCACTATTGCTGTAATGTAGGAACTAGTGAATGTGGCTCTTGTCACTTGATACTTCATTTCAGTGCAGGCCTGAAGAGCTCAAATCCACAACAGATCAAGCCCTAAATACTTCCTCAGGACAGACTTGGCTGCTGTTCCCAGGAACCTCTTCCTTCTCTTCTCTCATAATTACTGGACTTGCTCTCTCAGTGTCAACCCACGAGGTGGAGGGAAACGCTTGGCCAGAGAGCAGAAGACTCACGGGTTTAACAAGGCTCCTTGGCATCAGTTTGAGCTCCCAAATTATTGCTCTTCACTGTTTAAAAAATGTGAAAATTCAGTCCAAAAAGCAAGGCTATCTGCATGGGAGAGTCAAGACAATCTCTGAACCTTCATAATCAGGCCATTTGGCTAATTACTTAAATATGAGCACCAAAGCATACAACCACTTACTGAAAGGTGAGTAAGCAAGAATTTTATTCTAATTTCTAATCCACTAAACCCAATTATTACAATTTTTAAGTCCCTTTGATGGTCTTTCAGCGCCACGATTTCTCAGAATGTCTGTAGTACTGAGAAATCTGAAATTATATGACAGAAGACATTTGGGTGGCACCTGATTTCAAAGGCACTGGCCATGAACATCCCGCTAGAAAGCCTTTTGGGCAAGGCTGCAAATTTACCAGCTTAAACCTGAGGCATCCGTGATCACCAGCCTCATTAGAAAATCTGGACGCATTTGCCGGTGACAGATGCTCTCCTTCCTGGCTTGCCTTGCACATCCCTACTGCTCCTGAGCACATTTAGATTAATGCAAATAAGGTGAATATATTTAAGTGCAGGTGGCTCTCTGTGGTAGGCAGACGACTCCGTAGGGCCATGCTGAAGGCTGCCAAGCAGGATTTTAGCATTGTCTCTGTTTGCACAGAAGGACCTCAGTGATTTGGAAAGCATAGAAGAAGGAAATGTTTTCTCCATGACACACTATGGACTGCCTACAATCAGCATCCTTCCTCGGCAGCTGGGCTTGATAAATGTTGTCAGCAGCCTGGGACTCCTTTTGGGCTCCCAGTGTCAAGAACGAATCTGAAGCAATCAGACAGGGACAAACACCCCTACACCAGAATCACTCTGGTCACGCTAGAGCGAGTCCTTATGTGACTGGGCTGGGAGACTGAATCCTTCAGAATAAATTCAATTTGAGCTGCTTATTGGGAATAATGAAGTTTACTCCTCTAGGCCTTAGTATGTTATCCAATTCTATTATAGGTATCACATTTAAAACCAGAAAGAATGCTAATATACCTTGGTTTTCAACAGAAAAAAAAGTAAATTAATTAACTTGTTTGTCTGCTAGAATAAACTAGGTTTCCAGAAAGAATGGTGTTAATGGCTCTGCATGCTCTTGCATATGCTAATCTTTGACTTGATATTTTTAGCCCAGTTTCCAAAAGAAAAAGAATTTTTAAAACCCTGTAATTGTGCTGGGGTATTTGTGTGAGCTTATCCAGCCTTCCACTAGTAGCTTTGAACCAACTGGCTGACTTCATACAAATACAGGGAAAGAAGACAGGTCCTACAGAGCTGCAAGAGACAGGAACCCTTACGTTCCCCTCACTATGGGAAACAGTTGGATGTGGGCTCACCCTTTATCAGGCATCAGAGAATCCACACCAGCAAGCTCCCCTTGGAAACACAAATCAAGCTGAGATGAAGCTTCTTTGGCGCTGCTAATCCCAAAACAACTTCCATTCTTCTCTTCAACAGAGCGAGGCGATGCCATGCCTTGTGCTTGTATTTCTCCAAGAGACAGGAAAAAAGGTCACATCACACTTTTCCACTGCAATTCTTCCCGTAATGTATAGTTTAAAAACATTGTGTTTCCAGGTTGTCATTTCCACTGTGTTAGGACATTTGGAATAAATTTACCTTTCAATATTACCACATTCAGGCAACATAAAGTGGTAGCTTAGAGGTGCTGCAGGACACACAAGACTCTTTCCAGTATCCCCTTCATTTACAAAGACCCACGTGAGGGGTGATCTGAGCCTTCCTTTTGAACCAAAGCTTTAAAGCAGTTTGTTTTGGCCTCTTTTAGAGCTGCAGGCCAAGTGAACTACAGCCATTTGTTCTGAAACCATAAATCTCACAAGCTATAAAGTGGTTTCCTAATCCTTTTATTTTACAGGGCACACATTTTCTCAGCAAGCCATGCCCCTTCTTAGCTGTGATTTGGGGAAATCTGCACGAGGAAACCATTCCAGCCTTCAGAGCTGGATTTCTCCAGCTGTTGCATTTTCCTTATTTTCTGGGCTGTCTGCTTGCACAAATTAGGTGCTCCAACCTGTCACAACCACTCTGTAGAAGGAAAATACAAGGATCAGCAGCAGCACCACAATAAAGCTGAACTTGGAGCCAAATAAAACCTGTTGTGGAAATTCACTTGACTAATCTTTCTTGTTTAAAAAAAAAAAAAAAAAACCTGAGAAATGAAGGGGTTTGTACAGAAGAGAAAAAAAAAAATGGACACACACCTGAGCAAACAGATTTTGAGGTCTGTGGACCATCCTTCCACTGGGCAAGATCAAAGTAACTCTGCTGGAGTGCATTACGGGAAAAGTCACACATAAATTGGGATCCTGGTGGTTTAGGAGATAAAAAAAAAAAAAAAACACAGGGAAGGGCTCTGCTGAAGTTCCCTGTGACCATTCAACAAAATCCTGCACTTAACGATCTAACTGCTGTTGAGAAGGCAATGGGGAGAAAAATGAGGAGGAATAGCCCAAACCACGCATGGTATTTGCTCCTTTGGTCCTTCCATGCCCTCCCGTGGTGGTGCATCCTCTGCTACACCAGCAGCACAGCGCTGGGTCCGCTCTCCCACGCTGAGATGGTGCAGGGGGGTGACAGCATCCTGCTTGGATGAGGGAAACCACTTTCAGAAGACACTTCCTTTAGTGGCAGCTTAGCAGCAGTCACTCGTGCTTTGCCCAAGCCCAAACATGCCGGTCTCTGCCACATCCATCACACGATATCATATGTTCATGAGGTGGCTGGATATGCAGCTGAAGACAGGGTGGGTTGTGAGATCTGGAGGACCTCCTGCTAGGGACAGAGAGTCAAGGAGGATGGGAGATGTCTCCATGGCAGTGCAAGGGAGCTGGTACCCTCTTGGTGAACCTCTCCTCCTTCACCAGCACCATGCATGGGTGGAGGATGTGGGAATAGATGTGTAGATCATGCCCCATCTCTGCTTGCACAGGGAGAGGGAGCCAAGCTCTGCGAGGTACTGGCAGCTCTTTAGGGAGCAGCCAAGGTCACATCAGCAGTCCCCATCTCCGTTCCCATTTCTTACCCCGATCGGGTAAGAGAGAGCGACACTTTGCAAAGAACAAAGAGAATCACCACGTCATTTTTCATTCATAATGGGATATGGGCGCAGTTTATTCCCAAAAGTAAAAGCAAATAAAACCAAGAGCAAGCTAGAGCTGTCAAACACATCACTGCTCCCTTTGGCTTCCAAGTACCACACTTGTGCAGTGCCTGGCATACTTCAGAGGTTGCTGCAAAATAGGTGTCCTTTCCAAGCACCTGTAGGATTGAGCATTAAAATGTCATTTATTACACAATGATGGTTTCATTTTAATAACTCCCTGCATCGCAATGTGAGTTTGCACACTCAGGAGCAGTTAGCCAAATGCTTAAGCTGAAGTATTAAGAAGTGGCAAAGAGATAATGATGTCACCCAATGACCCTATGAACATAATTTTTACGTATTAGACACAAATATAGTGAAGTGCTGAGAGCACAGAAAAAGCCACAATTTCCCACTTAGTTCTGCTGAGCTTGTACTGAATCATAAATGTGGGATAACTTTCCAGAACAACTTTTCAGGATTTAACTGCAGCATCTGGAAAGTCTGTTCTGAAACACACTGATCTCAAGGACTCCAGGAAATTTGCACATACACAATCATTTTGCATTTACCTCGGATCTCACCTGTGTGGAAACCAGTTTCTTTGCCCAATTTGCATTCCTAGTGAGAAATTGCTTTTTTTCTAATACAGGAAGGAAACGTAAGAATGTCAGGTCTAAGGTGACTGCTCTGTAACACAACGCATATTTTTATTCCATGTGGAAAAGGAATGCCAAGTTGCTCAAATGCAAGAAATGTTCTTCCCCTCACCCTGCTGCAGTAACACTTGTTACTTATCTATAAAAGTAAGCAAAAAAACCCCAACCCTAGACAAAAGATTTGCTCATTCATTGCTCAGCTGTGCACTCGCTCTAATTAGATGAGCAATTAAATAACCTGAAAAGCAAAACAAAACAAAAGGAAGATTTAATTTGTCTTTATCTATTATGAAAATGAGGTGGATTGGGGTGGTACAGACATGATTTTATATAGTACTCACCCAAGTTTTTCAACCGAAACTTTCTGTAAACTGGGAAAATGATCTGTGAATTGCTCTGTTTTCCTTCATGGTTCATCCAGGATGACTGAAACTCTGGTTTTAAGATGAAATAATTTATTTTGATGATATCTAACCACATAAATTTTTCTTAATTTGTCTTCAATTTAATTTTGAGAGGATTACAAATTTATAAAATTATGTTTCACACCAGATTATGACTGCATGTTTAAAAGATATCTTTTTTGTTTTAATAATTCAGGATTATTGGTGAATCAAAAATAGCAATTATTTTATCTGTTCCAAAATTCTTTCCCAGCCCAGGAGAAATGGTTACTCTGTAAAGGCTACAAGATATTCAAATATCCCTAATAAAAATAAATCTAAAACTGCATACTCATAACTCTTTATGCCTCTTGCACATTGAAACATCTACTGTGCAGCAGCTCTGGGACAAGCAAGGAATGCAAGACACATTTTTATCTGACCTAACACAACTCTTACATGTAATAAGATATCACCAAATTGTTTGTAAATGAAAATCCTTGTGGAGCTCTGCTCAGCTCAGGGAAAGTATCACAATTACTTCAGGAAATACTGATTTGCTGTAAAGGAAGAAATTACTATATTAATTTTTTGTAATTAGATAAGCACAGGAGGTAGGTTTCTGAGTCAGCTGTGAATAATTAATATTTTGAATGGATGTTACCCATCTATGATCCTTCCTTACACTCACACTCCTGTCTCCAACCTGCTCCCACCTTCTTTTCTGCAGAGATGCTCAGGCTCAGGGCGCAAGTGTCGGCGTGAAGAGAAACACGTGAAGTGGAACTGTTCATAAACTGCTGTCACTGCAAGAGGAGACGGTGCTGTTATGGGAGAAGATGATGACTACATAAGCAAAAGCACATGGAATGAGCTTCTAAGATTCTTTCTCTGCTGGTGATCCTTCCTTGACCACTGCTGACAAATTGTGAATCCAAATGGACACCGATTTTAGCAGGGGTTGTCTTCTTAGATTTTATGAATACCATGGTCTGTAGGTTTATTTACCCCAAACTATCTCACCCTTGTTACCTCTTTAAGTACCATTTCTCTTGTTTCTGCTGTCTCTCAACATGTCATATCTGTAAGTCTCCTGGGCTAGAGACGTTGTTTAACAGCACCAGGCAGGGTTCTGAGGACCTTGACATTGTGTCCCGATTCACTGCAAATTGTTCATGTGACCAGATGGAGGCCACAGTCACTTCAGATATCTGATAACTGGGCCTTATATCCCAGAGATTTTATAAAAATAAATAGATCAATGACATAGAAAATATTCCAGAAATGGGGTCATATGAATATCTACACGGTCTTTTGCATACAAAAGAAAGTGAGTCCACCTGTGTCCCTAAACAAGGAATCCTGGAGCCATCTCCTCAGCTCCAGGAGGGTGCAATGGTCCTGCTTTCAATGGCAGGTTCCTGGTTCCCAGTCTGCTTGGAGCACGGGCAGAGCACAGCGTGAAGTCTGCCTGCAAAGACCAGAGATGTGCACGACATCAAAGCAGGCCACGATCAGCAAGATTTACCGACCATTCATGTAGAGTAGTAGGGTGTGGAGCATAATGATATAAATCAGCATTTTAAAAGCTGAGAGTGCTGAGAAGATAAAGAAGTGTGAATAGCAAAAAGTGTGTGGATCCATATGACCTGATCCAACAGCAAAGTGTGCATCCATACAGTCTGGTATCTAACACAAATCCTCATTGCTAGAACGTCTTCCGCTAAGCGTGCTCAGCAGTTGACTGCCCATGTAACCATCACATCTCAGAACATTCTTGATCTGTGAGAAAAGAAATGGTATCACAGAATCAGAACAGTTTGGGTTGGAAGGGACCTTAAAGACCACCCAGTTCCAACCTCCCTGCCATGGGCAGGGACACCTTCCACTAGACCAGGTTGCTCAAAGCCCTGTCCAACCTGGCCTTGAAACAGTGGAAATGCTGCAGCTTTTTAGCCATCTGTGATGGCTTGCTATGTATTTAATTAAACAACGGGTAATGACTGTACCAACAACGAGCTGGTCAATCCAAGAAAGAGTAAGAAGAATAAGTAGCTGTTGCAGGTGGATCCTGACTCTACTGGCTGCTACAGCCAGTGCGTAAAGCATCCCTTGAGGGTTATGTTATTTAGAATCATAGATTACTGATTAAAACACAATACTGTAGTAATGGTTGTTTCCTGAGCCTGAGGGGACACTTAGGAGACACTCCAGTGTAAAGTCTAGAATCTTTTTTCATCATTTTGAGCTGTTTTTAGGTCACCTTTTCCCTGAAGACTGTTCCCTTGGCTGGGCTCCCTGCATAGCCAAGGTTACAGAAGGAAAGCACAAATCTTTATTTAATATTTGAAGAATACTGGTATTTGAAGAAAAGTGAAGAGGAATTTGCTGCTTTTCTACAATTGGGATCCATAAAAGCAGCATTTTAGGATGGGGGGAGAAGCAGGAGGCTATGTGAGAAAATGGATGGTTTGTTTGTTTAAACAGTAAAACTAACCCAATAAATCTTGCACTATGTCCTGGTCGGAATAGAAGAGTCTCTTAAATGTCAGAAGCAATGACTAACATGTGAACTGGAATTGAGAATGCAACTTTGCAGACAAAAAAAATGGGGGGCTGTTGGCCTGAATTTGGGAAGGGGAAAGTAAATCGAATACAGGAGAAAAAAATATAGCACATGTAATATTTAATAGCAGAAATGGAACACAGTGGGGTTTTCCTATACTCCAAATCACAATTAAAATGAGGGGATGTATCAAAAAAGGCAAACTAAAATTGTTTAGAAAGATTTCATTGTCACAGCATCTACTGAAAGCCACCTGGGGAATGCAAGGCTAAACAAATACAGCCCCAGCGCTCTACTCAGATGCTGAATTTTGTTCCTGAATGGAGATTTTTAAATTCTGTGCTTCTCCCTGCCTTTAATGGTGCATGCCAAGCTTGACACTGCTTTAAAGCTCCTTTCCACAGAAAAGGGTAATGCTAAACACTTTGTGTAACCCACAGCCTTTCAATGTATCTCCAGTTGAGAAATACAAAATACAGGCATCCAAGAACACTGACCTCTGAAAAACATGATCTTTCGAGAACAGCAAGTTAGGCATAAAACTATAGGCCATATAGGGGCAGAAAAATAGCACCCAGCCCTGGAAAGACCTGTCCTCCTTGCAGCTCTTTGCATATTCAGTGCTGGGAGAAAAGAAGAGTGGTGGGACCTGCAGGACTGTGTAGCGGCAAGGTGTGCAGCAGCTTATGCATACCATGGAGAAGCAAATAGTGCAGAAAATGGCTGCATCAGCATTTTTCTTCCCCCCTGATGGGTTTCCCAGGAGCAACGGTTCACTCTCAGATGGAAAACCCATCCAGGCTCTAGCTGTATTGTCCTGCCTGAAAGGTGCAAAGAATCAGGATTAGAGTTGCGAATCTGTTCCATTATCCCCTGTTGTTAGAGTAAGAACACAAAATAGTCTGGAAAATACAGGAATACCTGATGTTAAATTGTATGTATTACAAGTACTTTCCAAATCCAGCTTTCATAATAACACAGAAGGGTGCCTTTACATATGCCAAAACCTACACTGAAGCCACAGGTTCCTCAATAAACACAACTTCTGCAACAACGATACACTTACAGGGATTAAAGTTTATAAGAACAGCGAAACAAAGAGAGGTCTGCTCACCTGTCAAGCAGTAATTCCTTCAAGCTTTCTGCCGTCTCTGCAGACACTGAACAGGGTACCCTGCCTTCTGCACGACACTGATTTGGAAGGTGTAGTTTTGTACGGTGTACTTAGAAAGTCTTAAAGTCAATGCTCAGTTGCATACTTAATCTTTTCAGAGTGGAGTGGAAACTATCTAATAATTAACATGTGTTTAGGTTCATGTATTTTGCTAATTTAACAGTTGTGCACTTGGATCTTAGGGTACAGGGTTCAGGAGGAGCTGTGTACGGTGTGGACAAAGTCTCCCAGGAATAAGCCGTCTGCCTTTCATGCTGGGTGTGCTTCTTCTTAATCAAAGCATTGCTCAGCAGAGTTGACATCTGCAAGACAAACAAGTAACCTCATCTGGCTTTGCAGACTTTATATAGATAAATGCACACACAAAAGATGAACCAAAAAAGTGACCTAGAAGTGCTTATTCATTAGCCAAAGAGAAGTCCTCCAGGGTACAAAGACTTTTTTTCAGTCAGGTTCCTGGCACTCATAGCTTTCTGTTACTTTTTTATTATTAAAAAAGGAATTAAAACCATATTTTTCTCATTTCAGTAAGTACCTTTATGATGTCCAAACAACTCCAACAATGATATCATCTGTCTCTTTCCTCCAGGGACGAATTCAGGCCAGACCGTGATATTCCTGCATATTCCTAGAGCACAGAGCCTCACAGCAAGGCAAAGGCAGCAAGCTTCACTCCTTGGGGGTGAAATTCATGTCACAGCACCGTCCACTTTACCCTGTACCTCCTACAGATCCCTCCCTCTTCTTGAGAGCTGTTCAACCCCATAAATTAAGAGTTAAGGCCTGAATCCTGCTAAGCCTGATCTCTGCAGGCAGCTACCCAAGGCCGTTCTTCACCAGGACATGCTCACCAGTACGGATCTGCCCATATGGATCCTATTTCTCCACAAATACTTTTTTCAGGCTGTGTACAACATGTGGCATCACTGGGCTGCAGTCCTTGGAAGTGGCCTCTGATTTAATAAAACAGATGATTCACCTTCAACGTGTTAAGTCCTCCAGCTTAGGAAGGAGGTCAAGTGTGCCCTCAGTTGGCCGCCTGCGCGATGGTGGACCTGCAGCAGCCGGTTCTCCTCCATGGTTTGTGTGAGGTGTCCCTTCTGTCAGCAGCACAAAGCCCTCCAGCCTGCATCTGCTCAGCCCAACATCACCACAGGCTGGCAGATGGGGTTGGAGGAGAAGACCAGGCCCTCATCTGGGCTTAGCTCTGGCTTTATGTAGTATGCAGACTTGGAGCATCACATTACCAACGAACCGGTGCCCTTGACCAACTCTCTCATGGATCTCCCACCCTCCTCATGACCCAAACCCATGACCCCTCCTTCCCAATAGCTCATAAACACCTCTCCTTCACTAAGTTAGCAGGTTCCAACTAGACGTGCCCTGTTTCTTCACTGGGAAATAGCCATGAAGCATGAAGTTCTGCTCTGGGAGTGAGGACAAAAAAAGGAAGGTGCTGATGGTGAGTTCTTCAAACACCACATCCTGTTCACGGTAGATGCATAGTTGACAGAATCTACCAGCTAGAAAATCCCACCGAGGCTTGCGGGCCATGCCAGAGGTGCTGTTGTGGCTGAGTAGACCTTCTAGAGGTTCTTCCAGGAGCAAGAAACGACAGTCGTTTCCTCAGATCCTCAGGCATTTGCTGCCTGAAGGGGCGACAGAAGCCGAGTTTTCAAGTTCTAGCAGTCATGTGTGTAGTCCCAGCTCTAACTATAGACCAGCAAAGATAATCCAAAATTATGAGAGACACAATGAGACAGCTGAAACTATTGGCAGATGGGCTGAACTGCCACCAGCCCTGGCTTTCACAGGGATCTGTTTTGAAATGTTAAGCAGTATTGCTCAGTAGTAATATATAGTAATAGTATTGCCTTGTAGTAAAGCTAGAGCTGCCACAGGACCCTCTCTTCTAACCCCTGGAAGGGAAGCCCATGGTGTGCTTGCAGGCTCACAGCTGCACTTCTCACCAAGAAGGATCCTATGTTGCCCCCACCAGTGTCCCGTTATAGCATTGCTGCTGGTGGAGCACGCGGCCACGATTCGTGTGAGGGCTGGTGGGAGGTCTGCGGATAGCACAGGTGGCTTTGGGGGACAGCAAACGCCATCCTGCAGTCTGTAACCCCAGTTCTACAACTAGGAAACTAATTTAGTCCTAAAGAGTACTGATGTCAATTAATATGCGTGGGGGTGAGCGAGGAGTCACAGGGAGCCTTACGCAAGACGCTTGTGCAGTAACTACTGCAACACAAGAGCATCCTCTACTATAAAATCACACAGGCAGTCAGTTACTTCCTGACATATTTAGAATCACAGAACAGTTTGGGTTAGAAGGGACCTTAAAGATGATCTATTCCCAACTCCCCTGCCACAGGCAGAGACACTGTCCTGGTTTCAGCTGGGATAGAGTTACTTTTTCCTCTTAGTAGCTAGAACAGTGCTGTTTTTCGGATTCAGTGTGGGCTTTGGTATGAGAAGAATGCTGGTAACACGCTGATGTTTTCAGTTGTTGCTGAGATTTTCAGGACTCTCCAACTCCCCATGTCCTGCCTGTGTGCAGGTGCACAAGAAGCTGGGAGGGAGCACGGCCAGAGCACCGGACAGTGAAACATTCCATATAGTGTAATGTTGTGCTCAGTATAGAAAGGAGAGGTGGATGGGAAAGGGGGCGTTCTCTCACTTCTGGGATTGAGACTGTAGGATCGGGGTATTTAGGGATCACTAGCCAGAAGCAGGCTGGGTATTTGTCAGTGGGTGGTGAGCAATTGCATTGTGCATTATCCGCTTCTACTTTCTGTTATTGTTATTGGTTTATTTTATTACAATTATTAAACTTTTTTATCTCTATCTACGAGTCTCCCTTTACCCCTCCAATTCCACACCCCATCCCTTGGGCCAGGGAGGGCGAGCGAGCAGCTGCATGGGGTTTTTTGCTGGCTAGGCTTAAGCCACAACAGACACCTTCCCCCAGCCCAGGGTGCTCCCAGCCCCATCCAACCTGGCCTTGAACCCTTCCAGGGAGGGGGCAGCCACAGCTGCTCTGGGCACCCTGGGCCAGCGCCTCACCCCCCCCACAGGGAACAATTTCTGCCTTACAGCTAATCTAAATCTGTCCTCTTTCAGGTTAAAGCCATTACCCCTCGACCCAACCCCACATGCCCTTATAAAAGGTCCCTCTCGCATTTTGGGACACCACAAAACAGAGGAATAAGGGGCTCCGTGGGTACCTGTTCTGTCACTGACACACAGCTGCTTCTCAGTCTCACTGAACAAACTTTACTAGGACCTGTTTTCCCTTCAAAGACACGCCCAGGGATAACTGTTGCCAGATAAAACAGAAGACACACAGGCATGGTTTTAAGAAAAAAAAGCAAGCTTGCTACACAAAAATAAATAAATAGAAACATTGGACAACTATGGCAATAATAAAATGTACAATTACTACATTATGGAACATGCATATTGAATTCTATTTGATTAACAGTGTTACTTTGCAAAGTAAATAAAACTTACAATGAACATGCACATATTTTCAAACTGCTGTAGATCTTCCTAAAACTTCCACTTTTTTTTTTTTTTTTTTTTTTTGCCGATGCCTCACTACTTATACCTACGCAAAATGTTGGGAAGACTGCTATTCTTTGTAAGAACTGTTTTCCTTAGGGAAAGTAGGAAGCATTAGAGGTCTGGAAATTACTGAATGTTAAGCCTACTTTAGGATAACACCTATTGTTATTCTAGGTTAGCAACTGTTTCTTGAAACAGATCCAGTAAAGAGATTTATTTTCATCTTCTCGGAGTAATTGGGATGTTTCTGGCAACTCTGAGATTTGCAGTGCTGCACAGAAACAGTGTGGCGGGTGGGGCGGGGGGCACAGAACGGGAGAGCTGCACCCAGAATATTTAAGTGGTTCTGGTGCTCTGCTTCTTTACAGCAGATCCTGGTAGCCAAATAAGCAGTTACAGGATTTCTGCAGCCAACAACAGAAATAACGCTACAGGAGGTGGCAAGCTACATGCTACTTTTTGAAAAAGCAATAGTGATTTCTAACAGGAGATCTGTGCATAGGAAAAGGAAATAGAGTTTGTGTATTAAGACAAGCATTACTTTCACAGAACACAACAGCTGAGCAGCTAAGGAAAATCCACTTTCACTAGAATTATTTATATCTCAGCAGTGATACTTAAAATAAATAAAACAGACATACTGATTCATTACATAAACATGTCAAAAAGACAGGTCAAAGCAAGGCAAGTACCTCAGATACACCTTGGAAATACATACTGCCCTGGACTGGCAGGATATTTAAGATGATAATTCCCTCTGTCTGAAGAATCTGTTTAAAAAACCTGGAATCAAAGTTTATCTTTAGTGATTATTTATCCCATTTTCAGACCCTTCTCTGTCAGTCTCTGACCTGCTCTAACAATGGTGTGTTCTTTAAAATTGTATTACTGTATTCCACTTCAGTCCCATCCTTTTCCTGCACCCCCTGAAGTAAGACAGGAGCCACTATAGTTTCAGTAAATGGTTTTCCTCCACACAAATCCCTCACGTTAAAGGGATACCTACCACTGCCATCTGCTATTCCTTTGCTCCTCCGCATCCCGCCAAGCCATCACCATGCACAGTACCTGCTACTTAAGTGACCCACTGACATGCCTAAAAATTGAGGCATTCCTTACCAACAGGACAATTCAGACAGGCTAAACAAGGAGCTTCTGACCGATTACAGACAACCTCAGCATCCCCGTGACAGGCAGCACAACTCGAGCACATCGAGCCACCAAGGCTCTGGGAGCTAGCTAATTAGCAACGCTAGTCACAACGGTATGTCGCAGCCGAGCTCCAGGAGCTAAAGGAGTGTCTTACTGCATTTCCCTTCTTCAATTTGTCTCAGTACATCGGTCAAAAAGATCTCATTTACACAGTCAGAAAGGAGTCTTCAGCTCTTTTTGGCCAATTATAGGGCACTGGGTGTCAATTTTCCTTCTCCAATTATGCCTGGAAGCCTGGGCTCACCCAACCCGGCTTTATTGAGATGGGGCTCACACCCTCAGAGGTCACAACCATCTCACATTGTTGTTTCTAGCAGGGGAACTCACAGTCATTCCTAGGATGGGAAAGATTTTATTTATTTAATAAATTACTTAAAATTGTAATGGAGATCTTTTTTAAAAAAAAAGACAATTTTCCATATGACTTCTAATTAAAAAATGCCTTTTTTTTTTTTTTAAAGTAGCATTAACATACATTTTGGCTATTGTCATATATTCAGAGGAACAGAACGAGCTATTAGCTAAAACATTTTTTACTTATTGAGGTAACAATTGCTTTAATATGAAAGCATGCCAGAAAGCATATACAAGTAACAGTGGAAAGAAAAGGTAACTTTAAGAGTATTTTTATGGCTCCAATGCAAATAAAATATCCTGAAAGCATTTCTTAAGATGTACATAGCCACTTTAATATCTATGCTTACTTAGTAAATGTTGGGGCTTTTTTCAAATTTATTCTTATTGTTTGTCTGCATTAGAACATTAAGAATTGTATTTGTCATAGTCTCTACAATCATTCCATCTTCTGTTGCTGGGGACCTTTCCCACTGCAACCAAGAAGTACATAAAAGGACAACTGTAAATAAGTTAAAATGGCATGCATCAGGACAGCTGCAAAAGTTAACTTTTCCACCATTCCAAATTTAACCTACTTAACTGTTTCAGTTAGACAGAACTTCCACAATTAAAAGCGCTCTATTTAGTGCTATCCCAAAATACTGTAAAAAAATCTTCAGCAAAACATACAGAGGTGCTAATACACAGTTTCCTGTGTCTTAAGACAATGCCACTCACTAGAATTGCAAAAATAGCAGAGAAAAAATTGCCAAAACTAAAAGGTACCTTACAAAAGAATATACATTCTCAAAGAGGCACAGCTTTACTAAGAAATTCAATACTATGTAAAAAGCAATTCACATTTTATTTTAAACTGCAATAAACTGTACAAAAATGTTTTATTCTTGCCAAAAATAACAGCAATATTTTCAATCTTACTTCTAAACAAACAACAAACTCTTATTTTAATCTTTCTTGGGTGAGTTACAAATAGACAGTAAGATGCATGGGTTTGTGTCAGTCAGGATGGAACGAGCAGATTTAAATGTTTGTGGAATAAATCTTAAGATTTTAGTGTCTTTTAAGAATTTCAGTATTCCTGCCATGCCTGTTAAAAACCTAAAGAAAACAAAAAAGTTGTGTGTCTCACACAAAGGAATGTAAACAGTCATCGAGAGATTAAAGAGGTTGACTCTTCCAACGAAACCGTAAATGTACCTCTGTACCACTAACATTCACTTTACACCGAGAACAGTCCACAGCACCGGGATCGTGCAGTAGCAGAGTCTACTCTCCAAAATGCTGATTAAATATACATCAAATACTTTTTTTTTTTTCTTAAGCTTTCAGAAAGAATAAAACCCCTATGTAACAGAACCAAAATGGATTATAAACTTTTTAACCTTTTGAGGGTTTTTTCTTATCCTAATTCACGAATACGTAACAGCCCCATCAGATCTACAATCACAATGTACTTTTTCCAAGATGCAATAAGGTAAACAAGCACCTAGTTAAGTCAATCAGATATAGAAAGCACCTCTGCCAAGAGCATGGGCTTCTTTTCAGGCTTGGTTTCAGGCATAACACATTTAATGCAGACTAACAAAATGTGATTTGGGTCACTGACCACAGCTTCTTCAGTCTGAGACCTAAAATGGAAATAAAATTGCAGTGACTTTTTAGATTTCACAGTTTTTTTCCTCAGCATTGAAACCTGATTAAGAAAAGGCTGTTTCAACAGATTGGCTACAGCTTAAAAAAATTAAGCATCTTCTGTTGCTTCAGAGTTGTTTGAGGGAATAAAGTCTTCTTGAAATTCCACTTTATCTGGATAGAGTTTAATGTAAGTGTCCACCATTAAATCTAAGTCATGTTTTATATCAAAGTTTATGTTCAGCAAAGCTAGGTTGCTTGACCTTTGCTCTGTCAAGGTGTTTTTCAGATATGCCTTTAAGCGTTTTCGTCCCATTTCATATTTTTCTTTCTCCACCTTCATCACTGGAAGTATACATAATACTTTAAGCAATGCATAAACATTAGGGAAAAACTTTATGTCAGGCAAGTGAAGTGCTTCATAAATAGTAGCTGGAAGTTCAATATCTTTTCCTCTGTGCTTCCACTTGATTCTCCAACAATGAAGCTCAGCAGAAAGCGTGTCTGGGTTAGGCAAGTCATTTTTATACATGTCAGCGTGATGCTCCTCAGACGTATTGAATTTGAGTTGCCCCATGACTGAGGGCACCAACGATAAACACTTAAGAGCTTTTAAATGTTGTTCTGAGAATATATCTTTTAATTCTTGAATAATATGCTCCACTGTGGGGACACTAAGGATTTCTTTGTAGTAATTTTCTGATGTTACCTCAACGTTCAAGTTCCCCTGCTGTGCCCTGCGAAACTTTCCTGGGAGTTTAATTTGTACATCCAGTTTTGTAGCCAAATTTGTTGCTTCCTCAAACCAAAATTCATGGTAAACTTCAATATTCTCCATCACCTCGTTCAGAGAATGCAACACTGCTGTTAAGCTGCTAGCTGCAAAGAACACATCTGATGTTTGTCCTTGGAGATTTTTTCCAAATGCTCTTGTGAATGACAGAATGTTTTTCAGAATTACAATGGTGACAATGAAGTCAAAATCTGTTAATGCACTTGAAAGTACAAATGCTCGACTGGCAATAAAGTTGTTCCACCTAATGGATGAGTCATTGCTTACTGCATCCAAGCACAGTACCAATGCTTGCATGAGGTCCACTAAGACCTCAAAAGAATCATGCCTGCCTGTCCACTGAGAACGGCATATCTCCTTCAGCTCCCTACCCTTCTCCTTATTGTTCTGAAAAAGAACAGAAATCGTATTGTCCAGTTCTACTAGTAATTGCGGAGACTGATTAAAAAGACAACAAACTTCTTCAATTGTTCCTAATGCAATGGAAACACCAACAACAGGAACAGATTTTGCCAGCCAAACGTTTAAGGCACAAGAGGAACACAGCGTATACACAGCTTGTGGATACTTTTCCAAGAGTCTTGTAGCCACAACTTTCATTTTAGAAGCAAACCCACTAGAGACAATGTAGGCTTGACCTCGACAGTACTCCATGTTTAGACCCCACTTTTCAGTAATAGTTGTGTGGAACTTCACAGCCAAAATTTCAGGATCAGCCTCGTACGGTAAAAACCCTATGAATTCTTCTCTCAGGTTATGAGAATCGTCAACAAATCTCACCAACACTGGCAAATGTTCCTCTCCTGCTATGTCTACTACTTCATCAGTGACAATAGAAAAGAAGTGCGAGTCTCTTACTTCCCTCAGCGTCTCCTCTCTAACACAGCTTTCACAGATCTCAAGCATTTGTTTCTGCTGAGTTTTTGAGCAATACTCAAGATTGACTGCAGTCATCTCAAATCGTTTCCTCAGAACTTCATCTCCAGCATTTATTCTGTATTCCAGTAGAGCCTGAAAGTTGTCTGAAGTAAAAATACCTTCTGGAAGCTCATCAACATTATGGCCATCCAAAGGAATATTTTGTTTACCCATTAGGATCAAAATTTCAAACAAAGATTTAAGGTAATCTTTGTTTTCTCTTTCTTCCAGTGTTAAGGGGACTGCTTCTTCCTCTCGTTCTTCCCCTCCTTCCTCTGAGACAGTATTTTGTTCATTGCTTTCATTCAGTTCTTGAGTTGCCTGTTCCCGTTCAAAAGCTTCATCAACTACAAAATGTAAAATACTGTCAGTGTCAAGAAAACATATATAAAACATACTATTTGTTTTCTCTTACTATCCCCATTTACCTTTAAGTTACTGGAATCCAGAGAAGAATGTTTCCAGTTTAAAAGTGAGTGAGTATTTTGGAAAGAGTTTAGACTGGCTGTTTGAATCAAGCAGCAACTCAATTATCCTCCTGATATATGTAAACTTACAGTTATGTGTCCTCCGTTACCTTGTCAACCTTAGCAAACAAAGTTTTTATGAACTCAATTATTTTGCCCACTTACTCTTTTGTTGCTTCAGTGTTTTTATTTCATCTTCACTCTTAAAAAAAAAAAAAAAAAAAAAAAAAAATCAAGATCAGATACATATATTGTAGATGAGACCATTTCAAGAGTGACAATATTTATCAAAAAGTGAGAGAAGGTCCAAGAGAAGAAGGTTTTTTCAGGCAGTTTATTGCTGCCATGACACATATCTACTAACTACATGAGAATAGCTTGCTACTACTGCTAAGGTTCCCATACTTATATTAGGATTTTGTTCAATATGTATTTTATAACTATTAACAAATAGACTCCATTAAATAATTCTGTTTCAATATGAACGTGCACTGTCAGTAGACAGAACAGTCTTTAACTGTATTTTCAGTCAATAAACAGACTCAAGTTATGAAGAAATATTTAGAAATTGTCTGTAAATTTCCAACACATAAGCAGAGTTTAGGAGTTTAATTCCTCTTAATTGTCAGTATACTTATAAGCACAGAAACCTAGAGACACTTTTTCTATAAATGACACAAATGAGGTATTGACAAGACAATTCCACAAAAAACTTTTTGATCTTGTTTTTATACATGGATCATCTTTTCAGAATAAGCTAAAGCAAGAATGTCTGAATTGGTGCCGATTTCAGAAGTTAAACAGGTGAACTGAAGATCACAATCAACATGTAGCATGTATTCCAGGGTATCATGCAGAAGTTATTATTACAATGTTAACTGAATACAAGCAAAAGGAAGCTATGCAATTTCTTTGGAAGACAGAATCAGCTCTGGATCAATACAATTCACCACATTACTTCACTAAATCTCCCTTAGCCAATAAAATTTATATCAGCATAATATTTGGGCACTGAACTTATAATCAGCAAAAAGATACTAGAATAGACAGTACAGAAAATTCAAACAGTCAAGTGCTAAATATTGACAATTTTATACAAAAGTTTCACATGAAGTTACTTGCCTTTACTGGTTTAATATTTAAAAAAAAACTCAAAACCTTACATGAAAAACTTACCAGCTCTTTTATCCTTTTCCTATGTCTGCTGTGGGGATTGTTCAAGTGACTTGTAAGATCAAATATAGTTGGCACAGCATTGTCCCGTAAAACTGTTCTGTAAGGGCTCTGCAAGAAGACAGATGTCTAGATTAGGGATTTTTTGGGCAATTCTCACTGTGAGTGCATTAAGAAACCCTAGAATTTCAGATGCATGCCCACTTTTTTTTTTTTTCTTTAAGTGTTTTCAATTTCTGATGTTTTAAAACAAACAGAAAATCAACTCAGAAAACACTGAAAATGAGGAGATATTAAAGAAAACCCCAACCCAAACCACAAATACTTTTTCTTCCCCATTATCTTCACATCAAAAACCCCAGATGCAGTAATTTTAATTTCCTGCAATATTCTTTTTTTAAAAGAAGAAACATTCTGGATAAAACCACATTTATGCATCAGAAAGGAAACATTTTGTTACTATTGTGCTTTGTTTTTTATCACTTATTTCACAGTTTTAGAAACAAGAAACATTTTCATGAGGAAAATGTTCAACTGCTTCTTTATGTAGATTTATGAATTCTACAAAACACTACTGTGAAAGATCATACTGAAGGAAAATTTATCTGTCAAATGATCAGGGAGAAGAAAAGACATCTAGATGGTCATGTAAATGTTTCTAGTAGTTAAATAAAAATATTTTAGCTAAGATTTTAGATTTGGATATACTGTAAACTTATGTTGTCTAAACTGGCTAATTTCCAGTAAGTACAAAATTTCAGCTGATAATGTTTATACTTGTCACTAGATTGGAATACATTTTAAACAAACCAAGTTTCATAAAATTTCATTCCAGATTCAGAATTACTTCCAGTATTCATTTGTTTCTGGGACGCTGGCTAATCAGAGAGCCTGTCACATGTAATACCACCAGGAGCTCAGAGTCTGACCTGCGCATTTTAATTATCCTTCGTAACTAAAGGACTCATTTTGCCTATGTATCAGAGTGAAATTCAGCCTAGAAATTAAAACTTGATACAAAGCCCCAAGTCTACTGTTTCCTGCTGTTATGTAAGCTACCAGAATCAATATTATCTTGTAAACAAGAAGAATTGAAAGCTATTATTTCATTAACAGGAAACAGTGCTGTGATCTTAGCTGGATAAAATATAACAGGAACCAAAAGCTTGACAGATGCAAAGAATGTTTAAATCTCTTGGCCACAACAGTATAATTGAACCAAATCACACCACATGCACACTTCAGTAACAGCACATTAATTATTTTAAATAATTAGAGGTATGCAAACTTATATACTTACACCCAATAAATTTATATAATGTTGGAACATCTAGTGATAATAAACAAAATGAGCATTGCTTTGCATGAAGAAAGAACTGCAGTGAAGACCACAGTGCTCCACAAACCTATTAAACCAGCAGGAGCAGCTCTGCTTTTCTCTTCCCCGACTGCTCATTTCCACCTTATCTTTTGTGCCAACATCTGCGAATGCCCTGGACCGTGACAATTATCTCAATTAAGACTAAGAGATTAATTTTCCCAGGGGATCAAAGATTAAAATGCAGCATTCTGATGAAAAATGTTAGTCACATCTTACAAGATGCAATAAACAAATGCTTGGTTTTACTTACACTTCTACATATCATAGAAGTCTCAAAATGTTTAGCGCACAATCTGTAATGCTTGTTGAGTTGATCTGGAGTTTTATCTTCTAAATCTGCCCTTCGACAGTTCTCTACCCATCTCTGACATCTGCATGTAAGCAAAAGAATTAGCTAGTTCAAGATAAATCAAAATCCCTTACAATTTCAAACCGTACACAAAATGGGAATGCAGTGAGCCCTGCCCTTTATGCGAGATTAAGGAAAGTTCTGTACACCTTCTGTTGTAATGTACCATCAAATCTTTCCAAAAATTTGTTTTTCTCCTTTTGCTCATCACTTAACACCGCCCCAGCAAATTCATGAATCTTTTCCCTTGATTTGTATATTCTTGCCTTTGTCTCACACATACACACACCAGATTGTAACACAGTTGCTCACGAAACCTGACCATTTAAATCTTAGGAATTGAATTTTAAAAAGTTAAGAGATGTGCTCATAGGCTAAAGTCATAAAGTATTTGAAGGCAGCTATTAAACGGGTAGCAGCGATGGTGCATCTAGAACTGGCACACAGTGGTCAAGGACAGAGTAAAACCCACCTGAACCCCTTGACCGCTGATGCTGCTGCCCACCAGAGAACAAATTAAGTAGATACTAGTAATAGCTAGGGACCAGCTCAGACTAATAAGTGACAGCAAAAGATAACATGAGCTCTTCAGAGGGTCTTACTCAGGAAGTGAGTCTCACAAAGATTAAATTAACCACCCAACATTCCTCTGCCTTCCCAACTTCTACAGTTACAGAGAAGTGGCTGTGGCCGCTGCCTTTTGTGCTGAAGTCAACACTGTCTGAGCACATGATCCGAAAGCCGTCCTCTGCCAAGCCCCTCACCCCGTCGGAGCAGCAGATCGGTCACCAGGGCTCCAAGCACGTAGGAAACTCTCCAGGCAAGGGCCGGGGTGTTGCCATCCCCTCACGTAGCTGCAGGACTAGCAGGAGATGGCAGAGGTTGCGCCACTGGACTTAAACACGTAACCTCCGGCTGAGTCTGGATTCGGCCCTTCGGTCTCGCTAGGAGTTTGGCTCCAAAAGGAATGCTCTCCGAGGAACCCGAAATGGGAGAATAAAGCAAAAGGAGGTCAGACCCCTGAAGGCACCCAACATAGCTCTGCATGGCATTATCCAAGCAGCAATTTAAAAAGATTTTACAATAAAACTATGTATAACACTTTCTCCAGTTTTTTAGTATTTGACCAATGTACACTGAACACTGTTGCACAAGTGCTTTAGTTACAACATATTTGGCACAAATTAAAAGCCGTTTCAATGCCATATATTCCACCACTGCTTCGGTATTGCTTACTAATTTTAAAGTTTTCTCCAGTCGCAAACTTTACATTTTCAGAGATCTGCTGACATCTCATGGAAGCTCAAATGGCAGTTTACTTAGGCGCGGACAGAGCGTAACCCATTTATGTTACCTCAATATTGGCCAACTGCAGCAGAACAACATCTCTTTGCTTAAGTGTTTTGTTCTAAATAGTCACACCTCACCTTAACTCAAACCACCATAACGAACAGAGTCAGAAACAGGAGTTAGACAGATCTTACTGTGGGGATCACTGCCTAAACTGGATAAAACTATAAAATATGCATCCTTGTTGAGATAACAGAGGCTATTTACATTAATGTTTGATATGAAAAGACTATGTACCATCCATTAAATGCAGCTGGTTCTTTTTCAAAGCCTAATCTGTGTATCCATTCTCATTTTCTCTGGTAGTGACAATAAATGAACCCAGTCTTAATTGGTTAGCTCTCTCAGACTCACTAACGCTCAAAAGATCAGTCTTGGAATGTCTAACTGGAACTGCTTAGCACTGAACTGGGAAAACATAAAGGCAGTTATTTGGTCATTGTGGAAAACCTGAAGGAAGTAAGGTAGTAGAGACAATTTGCCAGGGACTATGTATTTCTTGTCAATGATTTTTTTTTAAATTAAAAATTATTTTAAAAGATGTATTCTAATGCTGTTATAATCAACTTTCTCACTGTAAGCTGCCAAGTGCAAACACCACATTTTTGGCATAAAGCACTTTGCTCACCAGACCAGTTTGACCTATAACGGTAGCAGGTTTCTATGACAGCAAGCAGTACAAGCAGCCCATTGCCATTTACAACTGCAGATGACTGATGTAGTCCACACAGGAGAAGAAACCACTAGCAGCCTCCAAAGCCAGAAGGATGGATTTCTCAATCTTTAAATGTTGTTGTTAAAACAGAATATATGCTCAACTTTGGACATTTTAACATAGGTTTAAATGGGAAAGGTGTATGTATTAGGGGGGGGAAAAAACTTGTAGAAAACTTAAAGAGAGTGTAATCTTTGTCACTGTGTGCTTTTAAGAGCACAACAAAAATTCTAGAAACAGTTTAGGGTCTAGATCATCCTTGAGGGTCAATTTTAACTCTGTTATCTGCTATTCTGTGACAGGAACATTAATCATATTAGCCTGAACTACTTCAAAGAGATTACAAAGTAGTCATACACTCAGAAACCATGCTTACTCACATACTGTAGAAATGTAAGCCAGCACATGCTTCCTAAAACCATGTCTCCTATCCACTTTAGCGTTTGCGAAAGAAACATCCATAAATCTACATTGTTCCAACTCATTGTAGCTGACACATTTTTTCAAAATGGTTTTTATTTTTAAACTTCCACAAATGGTTGTTAAAAGTAGTAGCATTCTAATTCCAAAATACAGGGTTTTTTAAAAAAACTTTAAAATTTGTGCATCATTTATTTAAATGCACACTTTTTAATGTATCGCTCTCTTGCTACCACTCATTCAAAATGTCTTCAAATAGAAAAATTATAAACTGAAGGGGGTATTTTCTTCGTCCAATAAACTGTCGCGCATTGACCAATTTTGCACAACTTGACATGACTCAGACTTCACAGCAAGGACTCCCTACAAATTAAGACTGAAGTTCAGACAGCATCGAATCCCTCCAATTCCACACAACCTGCAGTCATTCCTCTGTGTGAGCCTGCGGCTCTCACAGGATGGAGACTGGAAAGAGAGGACACTGGAAGCAAATCACACAAATGAAAAGTTAATAGTAAGAAATCAACTATTTTGATTTCAGCTTTCCTTTAAAGCATAAACATATATAATAGGGATTGTACTACAAAACCTGGCATGAATGGCCATCAGGAGGTCTGGTTATCCTAGCTTTAACTCAAGGCATTGCATTCACCCAGGAGAGCTTGACGACCTACCTGAAAACACAGCTTTAACCAGCAGCTACTGCCTATACAAACTTTTTATATCTTCTTTTTAACTCACTTACAGGGGACTGTTTTCTTAGGAAAAAACTATGTACCCACAATCCCCATGGGTTTTGAAATTTTCCAAAAATCAGATCAAGCAGCTTCAAGGAAGAAAGCAAGCAAATACCATGTATAGTCAAAAATTTCATTTTTAATTACCTACTGTTAGGAGAGATAATTGGTATAGGCGCTCTAGCACCTATGCACCTTCCAAAATTGTGAGAAGCAAGTTAAGTCAAATGATTTTAAGAGCTTCTACATGGGGGTCTCTACATTTAAGTGCATGATTTATTTTTCATGACATTTTCCATGGCCTCTCACTCACACGCTTCTTGTTCTACCAGTGCACCACTTCTGCTTTTTACCCACTGGGAACTTTAATATCTCATCACTTCTGCTGTTGCTTACGATGCTTCACCACCAACCATCATCCTTGCAATCCTGTGACAGCTGCCTGTCACACCAGTGTCCCATTTGTCACACCCGCACCCCCCATCGTCCAGCACCACACCACCTCAACACACACAGTACAACTGACAGACTTCCACCACCTGAACCAGTGCTGGCCCTGCGCGGTCTCCCAACGATGCACCGGCTCCCCCGCCTCACCCCATTGCTCCTGCACCCCTCCAGCTGCCCCACATCCCTAACAGATGTGCACCCCCTCACAGCCAGGCACTCCTACACGCCCCTCACAGCCAGGCAGCCCCTCACTCTCCTCACTCCTTCAGCCCCCCACAGCCAGGCAGCCCCTCACCTCCTCAGCCCCCCACTCCTCTCACAGCCAGGGAGCTCCCGACGGCCAGGCACCCCTCACTCTCCTCTCTCCTCCAGTCCCTCGCTCCCCTCACAGCTAGGGAGCCTCTCAATCCTTCAACTCTCCCACTCACTCCATAGCCAGGCAGTCCCTCAGTCTCTTCACTCCCTCAGCTCCCCGACTCCCTCAGCCCCCGGCTCCCCTCACAGCCAGGCATCCCTCACTCCCTCAGCCCCCCACTCCCCTTCACAGCCAGGGAGCCCCTCACTCCCTCAGCCCCCCACTCCCCTTCACAGCCAGGGAGCCCCTCAATCCCTCAGCCCCCCACAGCCAGGCACCCCCTCACGCTCCCCATCACGGCCCCGGTACTGATTTGGTGTGTGGGGGGGGGGGAAGCGGTGGCCTTGCCGGCGCATGCGCAGCCGCTCACCCGCCTCCCCGCCGGCGGCCGGAGGGTCCCGCGGAGCCCCGCCCCCCCGGCGCCACAGCGCGCGCGGCCTCCGCCGGGACAGCCGGGAGCTGCGGGCGGCCGCCGGCCCCTCACGGGCCGCTGCCCCTCCACCCCCACCCCCGCCGAGGTGAGGAGGCGCCGAGAGGGGAAGAGAAAGGAAAGGAGGGAGGGAGGCAGGCGTCTCCCCGCCGCGGTGTTGGAGGAGCGGAGGGCTGCGGGCCGGCGGGGCCTGAGGGGAGAGGCGAGCCCCCCTCCCACTCACACACCCACACCCAACCCGCCCCCTCTGCAGTGCAGGCTGCCCTTCCTGAGGCGGCACAGCTGGAGGGGGGAAGGAGGGGGGAAGGGTCGGTCTCACCTGACCGGGTCCCGGGGGAAGCGGAAGAAAGCCAGGTCGGACTGAGTGCTCTTGCGGGTGCAGTTGGGAGCCGCGCAGAAGTTCGGCATGGTCTTCCCCCCCCCCGCTTTGGCGCCGCTGCCCCTTTAAATCCGCGGGCCGGAGAAAGGAAGGGGGGGGGGGTGGTGTATGTGGGGTGGAGGAGGAGGACGGGAGGGGAGGGAGGGAGGGAGGAAGGAAGGGGAGGAGGGGGGGGAAGCGGCTCTACACTGCTGTGAGCGGCCGGGAGGATTCACCGCCGCCGGACGCCGGGAGAAGGAGCCGCCTCCTTCCCACAGTGCACCGCGCACGGCGGGGCGCGAATGGGCGGGGCGCATGCGTGTGGGTGGTGGGACCCCCCTCCCCCGTTTCGGCGCGCCTGCGCGTAGGGGGAGCGGGTCGCCGGCGGCGCCGCGCATGCGCAGATGCAGCGGGGCAGGGCGGGTTTGCCCCGCTGGGTCTCTGAGGGTGTGGGGGGAGGAACAGTGAATGTATGTAGTGCATATCGGGTGTGTTTTCCTTAAAAACCGAGGCTGTAGAATGACGTCATAATCTTTTGTCTCTTATGTTTTGATTTTTAGGAAGGTGTCAGTTACTCCAGAGCCCGGATAATGAGAGAAACCATGGGTGTTTGAAGTGATAATCAAACCGGGGGTATACCTAGTGCAAAGACTTTGTCAGGTCTCTCATAGGTAAAAATGGAAGAAGAAAGTAACAGGAAACAGCAAAATGGATAGTTGTAAGAAGAAAGATTTATTCAGCAAATGTGATGTGCTAGTACTTTGAGGAAGTAGATACAGCAGCTATGAAATGTATAAATGCTGATGGCAAATTATAATTGGTTTAGGTGTATTAGTGCTATGATATAAGTGTTCAGCTGTGATCCATGTTAAAAAACCCTGTAAAAGGTGTCCTAACATGGAAATTTGTTGGGCTTTAGGAAGCATCTTGTAAAAAGTGTCCTGACATGGAAATTTGTTGGGCTTTAGGAAGCATAATCCAGGTCTATGAAATAGCCAAAGTACGTGTCTTTTCAAAAAAGTGTGTAAAGGAAAAACAAATCACTCATTTGGTTCTTTTTTGCTGGCTTCAAAACTTGTAAGGCTTTTTGTTTTGTATGAGTAGAACAAAAGCTGTCTTTTGCATGAGGAAGAGTTGTCATCAAGTGCCCTTCAAACCAGGAGTCTCAAAGCATATTTCATTGGAATAATTTCAATGACATTGATTTATTTGGTGTTAATTCTTTTCCAGAATTCTAGCTCGGGCATGTAGCTACGTTCATTCCTTTTAAGTAGTTTTGAGTAGCCATTTAAGCCAATGCTAAAGATAAATTTAGCTGCACCTGACTGCTGTCACTTTACTGGGCAATCACCAACATTTGTATACAGTGAACTGTATAAGGGAGTTAATCAGATAAGTAACTTTTTTTTTAAATAGACTCTTTTACCTTTAGGTGAGATTTAATTGAGGAAACTGCCATCTGACTTGCTGTGCAGTTTGCATAAATGTTCATGCTGACAGAACAGAAGAGAGCAGGATCATTTTCAATTGCAGTAACAGCTCTGGAGCATGCCTGCATAACGACAGTGTGAATTTTAAAACCCTTAAACCCTATTTCAGTAGGAAAAAAAAATACTTCTTCACCATTCAATAATTGTTACTATCTCTTGCCAAATATTGAAGGGCCTTTTCTTCTCCAAATGGGTTCGCCAAACAAAAGTGCATGCGTGCTGAAACTCCTTTTAGTGTTCTGAACAAGCCAAACCAGAATATTAGAATGGCTGTGTTAAAAAGAAATTAACCACAGCACAGATTTCTAGACTGCTACTTCTGACCAAAACTTCTGTTGATTTTGCAGCATTTGAATCACTTTTCGAACAAGCATTTGTGGCTGTTACCTTCTAAATGTGCATGTATTTGCATATGAGCTTTCCTGATGAAATGCATGCAATGACGTATGCATAAAGTGAACTTACTGAAGTCTGCCAAATGTTTTTTATTGGGAGACTAATTTTTAAGTGATTCCTATATAATGGAAAGAAAATTAACTTAATTATTTTCAAAACCCAACAATATTATTAGAAACCCATTACTTTTAAAGAAAATTAGTTTACATTACTACTTGGTTGGAAATTCTAAAAATTAGCTTCTGTTTTATAGGACTAAAATCACAAAATCCTTTTTTTTCCCTGCAGAGTAGCCTTTGAAGTGTATGTATGTAATTTGTATGCTGGTGATTTTGTGTCTTAAATAATCCTCCAAGTATTGTTCACAGTGTATTTCCCAGTGTGTCTGTTGATATTGAGTGGGGATTAAGGACTGTATTAGTAGTGTTGTACAGATAATCTGTATTCTCTGGGTAAATTATTCTTACCGGAATTTTGTGTGCTTGTGTGGATTTTTTAATTGCTTTATTTCTCCACTGTGTCTTCAAGGTCAGCTGTATCTTAAATCTAGGATTCTCTATCATGTAACAGCAGTTGTAAAATAACCTTCAATGTACTTCTGGAAATTAACTGCATGTCTAATTCCCAGGCTGAAAGTCAGTATGCCTTTATTTTCTGATTGTACTGTTTAAGGATGATTGTGTACTCCTGCAGGTTTCCTGCTATTAAAAGTTTATCTGCAAGAGAATATTTGAAGTCTGAAATGCTTTCATGACTCCTACTATATTCTTTTGCAAGTCATACAGCCTTGTTGGGATAACCTGTCTGTAAGAACTAAATGGACATCAGGTTAATTCTGTAGATTCTTTTTGCAGATCTGTATCCACTCGTGCTGAAATTTGCAATGACAGGATGAAAAAAAAAAAGGTCTTGCCTAGAGTTCTGGAGAACTGAGAGGCAAAGGTGGGGAATAATGAAATTTTCACAGTGTGAGACTTCTGAGACCATGCGAGTGCTCACTGAGTATGCGATACTAGTGACCAATACGCAACTTACTCCAGCTTAGGGTTGCAGTTAAGGCAGCATCCTGGCTTGTCACTTGCGGTTAGCTTTTTGCAAATGAAAGTTAGCAATGTCTATGATGATGAGTTTGAGGGTTATCAGACCCAATTCCCATTGCATTTTGCCTATTTCACTGGAATCTTTTTTCCTTTTTTTATGATTCTGATTCAAATTCAGTGAGTGCATAGAAGTTGTTGATGCCCCTTCCCTGGAAGGGTTCAAGGCCAGGTTGGATGGGGCTTGGAGGACCCTGGGCTGGGGGAAGGTGTCCCTGCCCTTGGGATAGGGGTTGGAACTGGATGATCTCTGAAGGTCCCTTCCAAACCAAACCATTCTATGATTCTATGATTTTCATAAGTTTTGTATCAGATCTTCATTACAAGGAAATCTAGACAGCTGTTGGCTTTGCAGCACTCTACTTTTATGTGAGGGTGTTGTTTGTGTCAGGGTCTGCCCAAATGACGTGGTTTTATGCACAGGCATAGCTTTCCATGTGACCTGAACTAAGCGATTTACTCATAGCAGTTGGTATTCTAGCATACAGCTACTTCCCTCCCTGCATAGGAGAGCGGCCTTCTAAATTACAAGCAACGACTCCGAGTCCAGTCCTGGCTTCCCCTGGAGCTGCTGCAGTTTCGAAGCGTTCAGCCAGCCCAAGCAGGTGATGACAGCCTACCGTGCTGCAATGCGGGCAGCGCACGCTAACAGAAAGACAGACATTTATATCACCATGAAGGAGTTCAAGGGAGGGAATCTGAGTCATCTGTTATTTTCCCGAGTTGCTTGGCCCACCTTAGGAGTGACAGGTTGTCTTTATTTTGCTGCACAAGACTTGCTAACCACTGGTGTTAAGACCAACCTCTTAAAAAGTACATGAACTTTTCACAAAGTTTCAGTGAAGTCTGCACAGTGACAAAGATGTTACTCTTCCTTCTTCATTGCTATTTTCACCCTGCAACAATACTGTATGTTTAAGTAAACTTTCATTTGCAAGGTGTTGTGGGATCAGTATAATTTCTTCAATTCAGGGCACAGCAAATTAATGGGATCCCTCAAAAACAGTTGAGCATAAAGAGTTTATAAATGAACAGATTGCTAGGAAAACAAGATTGGTGATTGTCCAGATAAGCAAATGCCTAGTTGCATTGGCCATTAGGTAATTACGATCATTAACTGTTTATCCTGTTTCTGGGAGCTTCCTTTGTCAGGTCTCTGTAGAATGATCGTATACATCTTTTACAGTGTTTTGCCAATCGATGGGGTTAACACAAAGGATGCAGGCACCAGGTTAAAGAGATTGGCTTATTTTACTTTACTTTAAAGCAGCAGAAAGGATAAACAAGGTAATGCACCTAATAATTTCTACATAATACAGAAGTAAGCAGTAGATAACAAACAAGGCAGTTACGAGATAAGGCAATACATCCAGTGATTACCGGACAAGTCGTAGTGCTGAAGAGAAAGATACATCACCAATTGCCCTCATACTTTACCATCATCCTGATCCGTGCTTCAGCTGGGGAGCCCCATCACAGTGAAGGATGAGAGAACCTTTCCTGGCAATTGGGAAGTCCGATGCGATGTGTCCACTCGTAGCGGGGGCCTCCATCCTCACTGTGAGAGGGTCCAGGTTTTATACAGGTTAACAAACAAATCTATATGATTGACAAAAGGCATGGAAGACATCTGGTGGATTGGCTCGCCTCACCATCCTCCTTTGGGAATCCTCTCCAGGCCTGGCCAGGGCTCAGGGAGGAACCGAAGGAGTTGATGTACTCAACCTTGACAGCATGTTTCTAAACTAAGAAAGGTCAATATATTCCCATATTGTTTTATCTAAGCTTCCTATCTTGCTAATGAGATAATCTATCCAAGCTACATATTTCACTAGGAAAGGCCAATATATTCCCATATAGTTTTATCTAAGCTACCTATCTCACTAATGAGATATTCTATCCAAGCTACATAATTCGCTAATGATCGGATACCAATACTGTATAATGTTTAGTTGTGAGGTTCGTCTGGAGGGCAACTTTGGCTCAGGGCCTGTTCAGGCTTTAGTACTTCATACAGTTGATACGTTCACTTGCTTCCCCAGCGTTTATAGCACTTCTAGCCTTGTAAAAATATTTAGTCAGAATCAGGAGCAAGTCATTCACTGATGAAATCTCTTGAACTTCGAAGCGATACGCAGTCTGTTGATGGGTTAGAAGTGGAACTTGAGGGAGAACATGCAATCTCCCCTAAAATACAACATAAATCAGGCCCTAGCATGACTGATTTCTGCTAAATGCTAATCTGGGCTATATTATCTGAATTGCAGAGTACACCAGAGTTACCGATGGTTTGTAACACACTTATGGAACCGTAGATAAGGACACAAGTTGCTCAGTGGAGCGATAACTTTAACACTTTGCCTTATTCCCATGCTTTCTGTTCTGAGAAGTGCCTTTGCTTTCTTCACAGCAAGTTTATATGTTCTTCACCAACACAGCTACAAAGAGGACAGAGGTTTGCATCTGCCTCCCCAGATTGCAGAGGGTACCGACTTTAATTCGCTTTTTGATATGCCGCAGAATGACACAATGAAGGGTTTTTTCATTATCAGTAGTTATATAATCAAGTTTTTGCCTCAGTGTAGCAAAGTGTTTAAATAGGTGCTCAACTCAATGCATGGTGGCATTTTGATGGATTTAAGCCTTGCTGAATTTAGGTACTTTCAGCACCGAAGCTCTTACAATTTGTAAAATAAATATGTATGTTGAATATAATATGTGTTACTTACAATAGGAGGGAAAAAAATCCCTATTAACTGGCAACACAAAGCTATCTGTAGTGAAAGTAGTTGAAATATCTTTGTGGATTTAAATACAAATAGTCCTGGGTGACAATCCCTGTATCTGACAAGGCTGTATATAAAAGGCTCCCTGGCAAGCTGCCAGTGCCTAAACGTTGTTGCGTCTTCTGCTTAGCCAGGAGAAAAAATGTGCTGGGAAAATGTTTATGGAGGAAGAGCGGGTTTAGGAGTGGTCTGAGGGCTACAGAATGAGATGCTTGTGTCACGAAAGCATAGTGAGTCACTGAATCACCTCTTAAGAGAAGTGGAAACTCCACTGGTTTGGCCATTTAACTCAGAAACAGACCAAGGAATAATTTAACTTTTGTAAAAATCTAGGCTATTTCTCTCCTATGCAAGACACAGAAGATACTTTAAAGCATCTTTAAATTGCCTACAAATTCAAATTACCTACTGTGTTGCACTCAGTATAAAAGCATAGTGTGTTTCTTCTTTTCTCAATTGCTGGCAAGCTGATACAAGTTTTTTGTTTTTGTTTTTTTTCCTTGATTTTCCAATTTTATTTTATAATACCAGTGTAAGTGTCTTGGAAGCTGAAAATCCACCATTCATGGCAGGAAAGAAGCAGCTGTGGTAGCTGTGTTTCTCATATAGTACCAAGCTGATGGCCCTCTCTTCCACCTGGGAAAGGCTGCTCTGAAGAAAAAGCATATTTTAGAGTCTCTATCAATCAGATTATAGCAATGCGAGTGGAGATGCAGTTAATAATCCAGCAAGAGCTGCAGCAAGGCTCCTGTGTCCCTTTCCGACGAGCTCCCGAAGAGCTGAGAAGCGCAGCTTTGTCCTGGTGACCTGGGCTGCATACAAATCACCACCTCCACGTGCAAATCACTGCTCCTCCCTTCGGCCGTCTCACCCCTGATGCTTCCAAGCTCATTGTCTTCCCCCTTCCATTGTCTTCAGGGATAGAAGGAAGTGTCTTGAGACATAGATTATTCTGTTAGTGCCCATAAAGTTTAATTAATTAGACCAGTGCCTGTAATTGATGAGAATTACAGCTGATGGGGAATCTGAGGATGTCAGGTCATAGAGAACATAATAGAAAGTAGGAGTGTTTGATGGTCACTGTATTTCTTTCCCTTACTGGAAAAAGGAACAATTTTTGCTTAAATGCATATAATTCTTAAAAAGAACACCCAGCAGTATGCTGTTATAAATAATAATGTGTGGCTTTTGTATATCACTGTCTGCCAGTAGATTTTAAAATGCTTTATAAAAGTGGTAAATGGAGGCACAAAAGGTGATGCGATGTGTGCAGGGTTGCTCACTATGTCACCATTAGATGAAGACTACTGCCCAATGAGTCCCAGTCTCATCTGCTGGCTGTAACAGAAAAGCTAACTGAGCTGCTGTTAACACCTTCAGAGCAATGTATGAGCCTAATATGACCAAGTTACAAAAATTCAGTGATTTACTGCTTGAAGGTGTTTTAATTACATGAGTGTTTAGCTTGCCTCAACCACGAAATAAAATGGATTATTACAAACTACTCTTACTTTGTGTTTTTTTCACACCGTTTGGCCTTGTCTCCTTAGGAAATGATGAAACGATGCTATCATCAAGTTTCTCTGTTGTTTTGCATTCTGAGCAGTCAGAAGTGTGTCTGTAATTTTGGACTTCCTTAACTGATGACTCAGAGACTGAGGATGTATGTAATGAGAACCAAGAAAGTGATTAACATCTGGAAGGCAACTCAGGCTAGAAAAAACACTGGCATTTTCACATTCTGCATTTTCTTTTTTACGCACAATGAATCCATTTCTTTTATATGAATTTACTGAGTAAAGTTCACCTGTGGGACATTTCACTGTTTTCCTGTATTAATGAAGTAAGCCTAAACCATATTGCCTTTATTTTCATTTTTTTAGTCTATAACTGGAACATTCTTGACATTTTCTTCATCAGACAAAGAAATGCTGTCAAGTGTCAGCCTCCTGCAGGTGACCTCCCTCGATTAGGCTAGAAAATCCAGACTGCCTCCATGCAGTCATTCTGAGTCCAGATAACCTTAATTTAGTCTTATGAAAAGATCCGTGCTGCTCCTGGGACTAGTTAGGAATTCTTGACTCAAGAAGACTCTCCTGACCAGAGTCTGCTGGCCTCAGGGGTAGCTCTGGAGCATCCTCTGGAACTTCTCTGCTTCTCTACAGGGACAATCTTGGTGGATCCATCCCAGTTGATCAAACACCACAGAGCTCCTGTCTTGGTTTGGGTTACTTATGCTTTTCAAGACTCATTATTTAGGTGTTGGGTTTTTGTTTTTGTTTTGTTTTGTTTTGTTTTTTTGTCCATGGTACTTCAGCCCTCTCATTTAATGGAGAATTGATTGTAGGTTAATCTGAAGTAGATGGCAATGCTGCTGCCATAACTACAAGCAGAATTTGAGCTTTGGACTTTCTGGACTTCTCTTGCATATTTCCAAGTCTGGGTATTCATCCTTAATAAAAAGTATTACTGGAAATCATAGAATCACAGGATCATAGAACCATAGAATCATTTAGGTTGGAAAAGACCTTTAAGATCATCAAGTCCAACCATTAACCCAACACTTCCAAGTCCACCATTAAAACATGTCCCTAAGCACCACATCTACATGTGTTTTAAATACCTCCAGGGGTGGTGACTCAACCCCTTCCCTGGGGCAGCCTGTTCCAATGCTTGACAACCCTTTTGGGGAAGAAATTTTTCCTGATATCCAATCTAAACCTCCCCTGGTGCAACTTGAGGCCGTTTCCTCTTGTCCTATCGCTTGGTGCTTGGGAGAAGAGACCGACCCCCACCTCGCCCCAACCTCCTTCCAGGTCATTGCAGAGAGCTATCAGGTCTCCCCTCAGCCTCCTCTTCTCCAGGCTGAACCCCCCCAGTTCCCTCAGCCGCTCCTCACAGCACTTGTGCTCCAGACCCTTCCCCAGCTCCGTTGCCCTTCTCTGGACACGCTCCAGCACCTCAAGGTCTTTCTGGGAGTGAGGGGCCCAAAACTGAGCCCAGTGTTGGAGGTGCAGCCTCCCCAGTGCCGAGGACAGGGGGACGATCCCTTCCCTAGTCCTGCTGGCCACACTCTTGCTGACACAAGCCAGGATGCTGTTGGCCTCCTTGGCCACCTGGGCACACTGCTGGCTCATATTCAGCCGGCTGTCGACCAGCACCCCCAGATGCTTTTCCCCTGGGCAGCTTTCCAGCCCCTCTGTCCCCAGCCTGTAGTGTTGTGTGGGGTTGTTGTGCCCCAAATGCAGGACCCGGCACTGAGCCTTAAGCCTCATACAATTGGCCTCAGTCCATCAATCCAGCCTGTCCAGGTCCCTCTGTGGAGCCTTTCCACTCTCAAGCAGACGAACACTCCTGCCCAACATGGTGTCATCGTTCAAGCTTACTGAGGGTGCACTCAATCCCCTCATCCAGATCACTGATGAAGATATTAAACAGAACTGGCCCCAGTTCTGAGCCTGGAGGATACCGCTTATGACTGGCTGCCAACTGGATTTACCTCCAGTCACCACCACTCTTTGGGCCTGGCCACCCAGCCAGTTTGTTGCCCAGCAAAGAGTATATCCGTCCAAGCCATGAGCAGCCACTCATCATTCTACAATCATCTTACAACAACCATACAAACGCAGAAATTGCAGCTTCAGACACTTCATACATAACTGGCTCATTTTTTACATCTCTCCCCTGTTCTGTGCACCGAAGGAATTGAAGTGTATACCATTTCCTGAGTACATACATACGTACATATGTGAGTGCCAGTCTGTCCACCTTGCCCATAATAACTTTTGATTCCCCTAATAACTTTTGATCCTGTTGGCCAATTTCATCCACATTTGAAAAAAAACCTAAAAGAGCTACAAAAGATACTAAATTGATCCTATGAAGTTTAATGAATATAGATGCTGAGCAGGGCTGAGAAAATGTGTATGTGCTCTCTCTGAGCTGTGTTGTTAGCAGAGATTTCACCAGAGACCATGTATGAGAACAGAATGCATTAATAAACACACAAACTCGAAGCAAATATTCAGCTAGAATTTACAGCTTAGTAGATAAATTTTGTTTAAAAAAGAGGTTTCGTTAGTTTCTTTCTCATCAAATAATTTGTCTGTTAAACACCTCAGATGGAATAAAAATGATGCTCTGCTAGAGCGTCACCATTATGACTGATGAATAAACCTCAAAAAAATTACTTTATTCTGGTAAGCAGCAAGGCTGTCCTGCCTGTTCCTACTGACCAGAGTAATCGAACTAAAAAACACATTTCCAGATCAGTTTGCAATGGAGTCTCTGACCTGCAAAGGCAAACTTTAACTTCTGGCACTACCCTGGTCTGCATCTTCCTCAGTTTTGTGCAAAATTTAGGACATTTATTTTTATTAGGTAATATTATGCAGAGATGATGCTACTTGACTTCAGCTGGTTCTTGGTTAGGAAGGCATTAAAAAAGAAGGAAAATTGTTCTAGCTCTCCTGTACTGTTCAGCATAATTGTTCTCAAGTACTTGAGAGTCATACCACTGTGAAGAACAATAGGAAATTGCAAGTGAGAAAATGTTCATCAATGATCACAGGGAAGAAGCAATTTTATCTATGGTTAGGTGGAAATAGCAGCAGTTCAAGATCTGGAAGTAAGTGTTACAATTTAATGCACAACATCCATCCACCATGTCTTCACCTCAGCAAATGTCCAGCTGTTTCTGACATTGTGAAAGCAAACTATAAAACACAATTTTCTGGGAGAGAGCAGAATAAGGAGAAGCACTTCCCTCCTCTTCATCAAACTGCCCGTCCCCAGGGCGTCCGTTTGCTTTGCAAAATCAGAAAGGGTGGAAGATGAAGCGTGGAAAACAAGTGCCTGCAGCAAAAATGAAGCCCTGGGAGACAGAGACCCCGGAGCAAAAGCTCATCCTTAGTGTGATTTTCCAGTGATCGCCTTACAGTTTTACGGATTTTTTTTTTTTTGCTTTCTCACTGCAACATGCAGCCACAAACAGATAGACGCATTGTTTTTAAGCTTCAGCTGCATGCTTTCTAGTTCTTGTCTGATTAAGGACTTTTAAAGAGATATAATTTGCTGCTGTTCTTGAAAATCTACAGGAAAAAAAAAAAAAAAGTTATAACCTCTGTAGATATTATAAAATAGCTGCCAGGCCCAGGGCTCCGGAATTTGCGCTCACATCTTTTGGGTGTAGGTGGCCGCTCTGCTCACTGGCGAATTCTATCAGGGAGCAAAACCACCCCGAAGCGGTCGTGTGGCTTTGGGGGGCACGAATTTTTAGGACCCTTCGTGTTTCCACAGAAGCGTGCCTGGCTCCAGCCCCGCACCGTTCTGGCCGGTTTGAAGCCAGAAAGCGGGAAACGGCCAAATGACATCCGGGCTAGTGTCAGCCCTGCCAGATTTATATTTTTTTTCGCACAAACGGCGGTCAGCCGTTAATCCCTAAAGTTTAGGGGTGGGGGGGAGGGGATGCGTTTAAATCACGCCGCTCCTGAGCAGTTTTACGCCGCGGCGGCGCAGCAACGCGCGCAGGCCTTTTGTCCCCCCTCGCCGCCCGTACGCGGCCGCCGGGCCATGGCGGGACAGCCGACCGCGTCGACAAACACCGAGAAGACTGCAACTCCCGGCGTGCTCTGCGCGTGCGCCGCGCGCCCTCCCCGCGCCATCTTGGCAACCCCGCTTCTTCCATCACCCCGTTCGCATCGGGGTGGCGGGGACTACGGTTCCCGGCGTGCTCCGCGGCGCCAGTGCATGCGCAGTGTGGCCCGCCGCCATCTTGGCCCGGGGAAGCGCTGCCGCCGCCGCCGCCACTAAACAAACCCGAGAGTGGCACCGGGGGGGAGCGGGGGGGAAGGAGGGGCCCTGCCGCTGAGGAGCCTTTCGATGTGCCAGGCACGGCCGGGCAGGTGGGTCCCGCTCTCCGGCAGTGCTGCCCTGTCTCACTCCGTTCTCCCGGGGTGCTCCCCGCTTCGGGGAGAGGGGCAGCTCCCTTTCCTCAGGACGGCGGGGACCCGCCGTCCCCTCGCGGGGCCCGGGCCCCTCGTCCTTCTTAGTTTCAGGGGCCGCTCGGTGTGGGGAACCAGCCGCCCGCCTCCTCTCCTGCCCCCGAAACCCGGCGGGAACCCCAGCGGCGGCGGATCCCGCCGGTCCCCCGCGACGCGAGGGCCGTGGGAGGCCCCGGGAAAGGCGGGTGAGGGGAGTCCGAGGGGCCCCTATGGCAAATCCTCCTCTCGGTCCAGCCCCACCCTGGAAGGGGCGAGGGCGCCGGGGCTTTTGTTCGCGGTGCCCACCCCCCCCACACACACACCCCACACCCCCCCGCCCTCAGTTGTGCTTGTTCCCTGCCCGGGGAGCGCGGCGCGGCCGCGGGCTGGCCCAAGCCGGCTCGCCCCGCTCGCCTCCGGCTCCTCTTTTTTCCTTCATTATTCTTGCAACGCGGAGATGCGCCCTCCTTCCCCGGCCACCCCCGGAATCTCGTCGCGATGCGATCGGGCGAGGGGGTTGTTC